AACTCTCCTGTATTCCACCCTCATTACCCAGTAACTCCCTGTATACCATTCTCTTTAACCCAGTAACTCTCCTGTATACCACCCTCTTTACCCAGTAACTCTCCTGTATACCACCCTCTTTACCCAGTAACTCTCCTGTATACCACCCTCTTTACCCAGTAACTCTCTTGTATTCCACCCTCATTACCCAGTAACTCCCTGTATACCATTCTCTTTAACCCAGTAACTCTCCTGTATACCAGCCTCTTTACCCAGTAACTCTCCTGTATACCACCCTCATTACCCAGTAACTCCCTGTATACCATTCTCTTTACCCAGTAACTCTCCTGTATACCACCCTCTTTACCCAGTAACTCTCCTGTATACCACCCTCTTTACCCAGTAACTCCTGTATACCACCCTCTTTACCCAGTAACTCTCCTGGAAACCACCCTCTTTACCCAGTAACTCTCCTGGAAACCACCCTCATTACCCAGTAACTCTCCTGTATACCACCCTCTTTACCCAGCAACTCCCTGTATACCATTCTCTTTACCCAGCAACTCTCCTGTATACCACCCTCTTTACCCAGTAACTCTCCTGTATACCACCCTCATTACCCAGTAACTCCTGTATACCACCCTCATTACCCAGCAACTCTCCTGTATACCACCCTCTTTACCCAGTAACTCTCCTGTATACCACCCTCATTACCCAGTAACTCTGCACCACTTTGTATATCACACTCGCACAACTACTCCACTTCTTTGCACTCTAATTTCCCACTTTGTGAAACTGAAGAGGATAGTGGTGCAATAGTGCAAAGTAGTGGAATAAAGGTTCAAAGTACATAACTAGAGTGCAAAGTTTGGGAATAGTAGTACAAAGTGTGAAAATAGAAAAGTGCAAAGTAGACGAGAGAGCAAGGCAGTTAAATAGTGATATAAAGTGTGAAGTAATGATATAGTTGTGCAAAGTGTGAAAATGTATTGCAAATTGGTGATAAGTGCGAAACCAGAGTGCAAATTAATGGTATAATAGTTCAAAGTGGTGGAGTAGTCGTGCAAAGCATGGAACTAGAGTGTAAAATGAAGATTGAGAGTGAGAAACAAGAATGCAAAGTAGTGGAATAGTAGAGTAAAGTGAGAAACAAGAGTGCATAGTGGCAGACTAGTGGAGAAAATAGAGTGCAAAATAGCGGAATAGTTGTGCAGAGTGGGGAAAAAGGAGGAAAGAAGTTGTGGAAAACTAGATTACAAATTAGTGGTGAAAAGAGGGAAACTAGAAAGCAAAGAAATGAATAGTAGTCCAATGTGCGAAACCAGACT